TTTTCGGAAGGCGGGCCTTCATCAAACCTGGAACTAATCGAGCCGTTTGTGCCAGGATGGGGAGAAAGGTATTGTAATAATGTAAATTATGTAAAAAATAATGCATTTTTCAAACCACCAAGCATGAGAACATGTTCTAGTACACCCCCAAAACAAATTCAAGATTGTAAATTGTAAAAGTGCATAATAGTAAAAGAGTATAATAGGACCCCTTTAAATACGTTTTTAGAAAGTAGTGCAGCTGCTTTATTTCCGGGGTTACCGGGGTAACTGCTGCATTTCTGCAGTTTAGCGCCATCTGCTGTCAGAGAGTGAATGTGCGCTTTCATTCAGCGTGTCTCCTTCACTGTTCCGCCATGCGCTTCTCATCCGTGCTTGTTTACATGAGAGTGCGCATGCGTCTTTCACGCACCATACAACAGTGTAGTGCATTATGACCTGTCTATGGGGAAATATTCTTAAAATGCATTCAAAAAATCTGAAAAATTTGTAATAAATAATTATTCACGGTATTTTGAAGTGCCCACGATTACAATATCGTGCATATTCATTACCGTGATATATCGCATTACCGAATACCGGCATATGTCTTATACATACATACATCTGTGTTGTGTACCCTGTATGGTAGCTGTATGTTTATTATGATGACGGAATGTGTTTCATGTTTTCAGAGAGGCAAACTGGAATTATTGTGACTAATTTGACAAATTTCACCAGCAAAAAAATAAATATATTTACAATTAATAAATACTAAATGGGTGAAGTTTACACAATGTGTGGTATTTCACAGTGAACCTGAAATCAGTCACGTCCCTGACAAGCTCTCCCTGGAGAACCAACGGCATGACGTTACTTTACAAACCTTCAAAAATGATAAGCAAGGTGAAAATGAGGAGGACTATGATGATGATGAATGGCATTGGAATGAATCAGGAGGAGGAGACTTCACAAAGCGCTACACTGCAATGAGGGCTGGGAATAATCCACAGGTATTCGTTAAAGAAAGATCGTGACCACAAGGCCAATGTTGACAACAAACCTGTGCCCATATTCATACAATATTTAAACAATAAATGCCGTTTTGGCGCTGTTTAATGTGGAGTAACAGGTCGCTGTAGCGCCTCAGTTCAAGAGAAGCGGCAGCGCAAAAAGCACGTGAACTGATCGTCTACTTCACTTTAATACCAGTTTCAGCACAAAATAAACATGAATGAACATCAGAAGGTATGTATAAAAAATAAAAAATACAATTTACCGAAATTCGTATCCTGTCTCATGTAATTTCTCAATCAGGGTTTCAACCGCGAAAAGATTTCAGTGTAACAGCTTGTACACAATTTAACGTAACATCACATTTACCTCAGAAAAACCATAAACTCGCTAGTCAGCTAGAAAAATTAACTATATAGAAGCATTTTGCTAAATATATGCACCGTATAACATATTAAGTGTTTAATGTATGTTTGAATAACTCAGTCAGGTTTTTATGACAGCCAACATTTAAATGTTTATATTTCAAAAAACAATTTGGAGTTGAAATATAATTATGTAATTGTAACTTCATTATTATAAAAACTTAATTGAGTGTATTTTTTTGTATACAAAATCAAATCAGTTAATTTTAACCTTCAATATTATAGAAATGTAGTTACCAGCTGACTTTACAGTATAAGTTTTTTTTTCTTGAGAAAATGTATGTTCTGTACCTGATATATATTCAAAACAATCAATACTGAATCAAATCAAATTGAATCGCAAGCTTGTGAATCAGAATCATATTGTGAAATGTGTGTCAAAACCTATTGGGTACATACTGTACATGTGTTTTTTTAGCATTTGTTGTAGATTGACTAAATATGTTTGTGGTTTACCTGCAGGCGATGGAGATAGCATCTGAAAGAACTGCAGAGGAAAGATCCAATCAGGACAAAGTTGACGAGGAGGTGAACTCATTTTTAACATTTCTCAACATTTGCATCCCTGTCCAAGCTACCAGAGTTCACACAGTCATGGAAAATTGTAGAATTATTAAATAGTAATGTGCAGTCCTGAAAAAAGTCATGGAAATTAGATGTAATGAAAATGTAAAATATCATTGAAACATTCTTTCTGTGGTAAATATGAGGGGGTTTTTTCTTTTTGGTTTTCCCCGCTCTAAAATAGTCAAATATTGCTCTTTGTGAGCACTTGTATAGAGTAACGGTCAGTATTGTTATAGTTAACTAAATCTAAAACTATTAAAAATAATTTATTAATTGAAATAATGCTGAAATAAAATATGAATTGAACTTGACAAATTTAAACTAGACAAACAAAAATTAGAAATGTTGGCAACAGTCTTATAAACTAACCAAAGCTTAAGCTGAAGTACTAAAACGGAAATAAAACTAATGAATTTAAAAAAAAATAATTTTATAATAAAAATGACAAACACAACAATTAATAAAACTAAAATGAAAGCAAAAAATATACAAAATAAAGCTAATACAAAGTATTAATAATAAATACTATAACAGTATATAAATAATACTAAAATAAAACTGGTAAACACTTGCTAATTTTGTAATATCTCATATACACACACATATACACTGTCCATTGATGGTCGTTGTGAAGACATTTGTACACAAAATATAATTTTTAACACTTCAAGGAATCATACAAATGGAAATGGAAATTCTTAGCTATCTCTATAAAATGATTTTGTTAAAAAACCCATGTAGTACAGCAATCATGAAACCACAAAGGTCAGTGTTGTGGGAACCTTTTCTAATGATTCACAGGTGGATCTGTCTCAAAATAGGTGTTTAAGAAAGCCTACATTCCACGCACACTTACTGAAGTCACCCATTATGAGAGGGATGTGGACGCAATGTTGAAGAAAAAGGAGGAGGCTTCTTCTGAAGATACAAACACAGAAAATGTATGTCTCACCACCCTAAATGAAAAATAATGAACTAATGCTCTGAGAACTAGTAGCAGTGGATGAAATTATCTGTTTTCCATTACAGATCCTCTACCAGACAGTACCAGGCCTCAGGAAGGATCTTTCTGGTGTGCAAACTGTGAGGAGAATGCTGTTTTTGTTTTTAAGAAGACCATGTGGCGCATTAATGATTAAGCGTTAGGTTTAAGACACCTTATGTGGCCAAGACTTTGTTTTTGCTATTAATGCACCCACTAGGTCTCTTTGGAATTTTCTTTGCCTACATGGCATGTGGGAGGATTAAGATCGAGAATAAAAACAACAGCCATTGCCAAACTCAAGCGTAATGACAATGAGAAATCAGATTAAAAATGCTTTTTTGTTGTTGCTGAATTTTTAATTTAACAGGTACCCTCGATACTGGAAGACTCCACAAAGGATGATAGTTCAAGCTCTGAGGGAGAGGAGGAGGATGAAGATGATGATGAGAAGTCAGAAGGGGAAGACACAGGAGAGGGTGGCAGCCACACTGAGGAAGCACAACTGAACAGAAAAGTACCTAATGGGAACAGAAAATGTTGTAACAGATGAATTGTGTTCATGGGTTGTGAGAATAAGTTTGTATTTCTGTGTCTTTCAGGAAAGAAAGAAAATGGTTAAAAAAGCTCAGAGGGAGAAAAGAAAAAATAAAGTGCCAAAGTATGTGAAAAAGCGCAAGGAGAAAGTTGCCAAAATGAAGAAAGGAAGATGAATATGGTTGAGATGAAGGTGAACTGAGATTATAGCAGAAATGCTACTTGACTGATGGTACCAGTATTTAAGCTGGGAACTATTGCTGATGAAATCAGTCCCTTAACAATTAGAAATGCCGGATATCAACATCATATTTTTAAAATGTTTATTAAAAGTATTATTTTTAATAAACGTATACTTTCTTTGATATACTGCTTGAATGGTGGGTAAAATATGTTTTAATGCAGACTGACAATTCAAATCAATTTTTGTTATAGTGGAACATTTAATTTACATTGTGCAGAACAGTTTACACAAATATTCATGTTTTACAAGGCAACATGCTGTTAAAAATAATGCACTCTTTCATATTTAAGTGACAAAATCCTCTTTACAATCCTCTATACATCTTGTACATTTAACATTTATTTCAAAGTAAATGTCATATTGGTACAAAACTGTTTATTACATGACATACACTACCTTTCAAAAGTTTGGGTCGTAAGAGTTAGAAGATTAAAAAAAATACAGTAAAATTGTAATATTGTGAAATAATTTAAACCATTTAATATAACTGTTTTCTATTTTAATATTTTTAAATGTAACTTATTCCTGTGATGCAAAGCTCAGTGTCTTCAGTGTCACATGATCCGTCAGAAATCATTCTAATATGCTGATTTATTGTTTTATTTTGTAGAAACTGATTTTTAGGATTTTTTTGTTGAATAGAAATTTGAAAAGATCAAATTTATTTTAAATAGAAATTATTTACAGCAATGTAAATGTATTTACCGTCACTTTTTAACAAATTAATTCATCCTTGCTGAATAAAAGTAGTCATTAAAAAAAAAGAATGAATGAATAAATAAATAAAAAAATCTTACATGGGCCAAACTTTTGAACAGTCGTGTACATTCACTTAGACTGGACGTTCAGAGTAACAAAATAAGAAATGTAACATTATAAACACTTACAAAGTGGGACAGTTTGCACTATTAAAAAAGAGCTGTTCCTGTGACCATTCAGATATAGTATTTGATTTGAGGCTCAGAGAGACAACTAGCGAATGCCCTCTACATAGTTAGCAGGCAGCATACCCGACCTCGCCGTTCTCTGTACCGTTCCATACATCCAGCCTTCATCGATCGGCTGCACGTTCTGAATGATGTCACCGTCCCGGAACGACACTTCATCGTAATCCTGCGCCGTGTAGTCATACAGGGCCCTGTACACAGTCTGGTGACCAAGTTTTTGTGCAATACAAGTAAGTATTTTATGGTACTGAATACATTTTAATCAAAAAAGAGTGTATATGCTACATAATATTGTAGAAAATCAGGACTCACCATGCTAATGTGTTGTGACTTCAGCTGCATTGACCTCAGTGAATGCATGCTTGTCTGATGCATGTAGCTGTGCCCATGGCTGTGGCCACTGGGATAGTATGCACCAGGGAGAACAGGTGCTAAAACAACAATTATCAAGATGATCTTGACCTTCATTAGTACTATTTTGCTTACAGTTGTAAGTTTGATATTTTGATTTAGGTGATATACTGATTTCACTTTTTGTAGGCATCACTACCAGGTGTGAGCATCTCACATTAGAGAACTTACCCACAATAACGCCAGGTCTTCGATCCATCTCCATGATGTACTGATGAACCCCCGTGTGTGTGCTGTTCCCCACCGTCTCATGGTTAGGTGTCATCTGAGCCTGTACCAGGTACTTCCCACGCGTTCCCTGAGTGACCCCATGCAAACCTGACACCTCAAAATCCTTATGATACTTCCACTCCCCCTTCAAAATAAATAAATAAATAAAACCTTGTATAAATATGATTCATATTTTTTGTCTTGTCCTCATTATCGTTGAGAAAACCTAATTCCAAGATAAAGCTTGTTTTACGATGATCAGTGAATTATGTGCACCAAACAATCACTAAGCAAAGAACAATTAAATATCTATCCTAGGGGTGTGCAATATAGACAACAAATTATATCTCTATATTTTCTGAGATTTTATCGATAAAAAATATTCAGACGACATTTTACTGAGTGTGTTGCGCTGCAGGACTGCAGTGGACAGCTGACTCCTAAAGCTTTTGACATTCTTCATATTCTGCGTGGTCAGTTCACAGCAGTGATAGAAATTAATAACTTCCAACAAGTTTAAAGTGATTTTTACCCTTTATAGGCATTTTTACCTTTATAAAGCCTTTTTTTCTAGAAAATCATTATCATTAAAATCATTATCAACAAAATTCATCTTTGCAATGCTGAGGAAACACAGAAGCTGCATCTGAAATGACATTCAGATGTATTTACACATTATTTAATGCAAGACATGAATGCATTTAACCTGCAGTTACAAATGCATAAATGTTTTGATATTTTAATCCTAAAACATTGAATACTGATATTTGAAATTATTTAAAGGGGTCATATGATGCGCTTTCATTTTTTACTTTCTCTTTGGAGTCTTACAAGCTCTTGGTGCATAAAGAAGATCTGTAAAGTTGCAAAGACTAAAGTCTCAAATCCAAAGAGATATTCTTTATAAAAGTTAAGAGTCAACCACACCTACCTAAAACGGCTCGTTCTAACACGCCCCCACATGTCTACGTCACGATGTGGGAAGATTTGCATAACGCCGCCCAAATGTTCACGCAAAGAAAGAAGGCGTAACTTTTATTCTCGCTGTAGTATTGTTGCTGCTGCCATGTCGTGAAGGCGCTGTATGTTTCGCTGTGAAAGCTAAACTACTTTGTTTGGTCTTCCAAAAGAGGCCGATAGGACACGCCATCACAATATGGTAAGGGGCGTAACATTTCCGTCTCACGCTTGAGGTATTCGGCCAATCACAACGCACTGGATAGCTGGCCAATCAGAGCACACCTCGCTTTTTCAGACCGATGAGCTTTGTAAAAATCGACGCATTTCAAAAAGGCGGGGCATAGAGGAGAAACTATAATGTACAGTATGTGAAACATAATGTGTTTTTTTTACTTTAAACCGCATAAACACATTTCATTACACCAAATACACAAAATAATGTTCTTTTTAGCAACATCACATGACCCCTTTAAAAATATATACTTTAAATGTGAAATTAAAACGGCCAATAGGTGGCAGCAAGTCACTGTTACTGTCATTAAGTGACGAAATAGAGCAAAAATAGACAATAAGGTGTCTAAAACGTAAGTCTATTAATATTCACTTGTTTATTGAACTGTTGTTCAATACAACATTTGTGATTTTTGCTGAAAAAATGGCACTCGTGTGATATTGATTAGCTATATGAAATTATAGAAATATACACATTTTCTGCCCCCATCTTGAATTTTGGGAGAATTCTGCATTTGAAGACTGAATCATGCAGTGAAAGAACGCACTCTTAATGAGCACAGTCAGTCTAGCTAGTGTTTAAGCACTCATAACTCCTCTTATAATCTGTATGATAAATTAATCTCTTACTTTTATCGTCTGCACTTTTGTTGCTTATGATGAGGGAATTCACAAGTTTCAGTCTGAACAAAATTCAGCGATGACTAATCTGTCAGTTATATTAAATTATAGTCTTTGATCTTTCAAGCTGTTTAATGGCAGTCAGCGGGTGTTGCAGTGCATCAGCCCATCCACAATAAAAAGTGTCTCACATGTCTCCAGGGGGTGAACAAAGGCCTCCTGTAGCGAATCAATGCGTTTTTGTAATATTTAAATATTTAAAACGTAATAATCACTTTAATGTAGCTTGCGCTCACTGTTGTAAATGGAAGCAGCTCCGGGCGGATGATGTAGGATGTTGGCGTTGCGCATGCGCCGCTCAGAAGTGACGAATGCAGAAGCATAGGGGAGAGATCAAAACAAAACAACGGTCACGAATTAGAAGTACAAAACGAGGATTTGTAAAGAAGAATGTCAGAGGAGACTGGTTTTCCTTTGCTAAAGTAAGGAAACTTTGCTTCCCTTGCTCCTGTAAACAAATGTTGGTTTTCATAAGACTCACCGGCGCATGCGCAACACCGACATTTTACGTCATCCTCCCGGAGCTGCTTCCGTGTACAACTATTGGCGGAAGCTAGATTAAAGTGATTATTACGTTTTGAATATGGATATTTTTCTTACAAAAATGCATCGATTTGCTACAGAAGGCCTTTGTTCACCCCCCGGTGCCATGTGAGACACTTTTTATTATGGATGAATGCTTTTTATTTCACTTCTTTTGGACTGAAGCACTGCAACACCCGCTGACTGCCATTAAACAGCTTGAAAGATCAAAGACCATTTTTAATATAACTCTGACTGGATTCGTCTGAAAGAAGAAAATCATATACACCTAGGATGCCTTGAGGGTGAGTAATTTATGGGCTAATTTTCATTTTTGGGTGAACTAACCCTTTAATGCTTATGGATGTGTACACTACCATTAAGAAATTTGGGGTCAGTAAGAATAATACTTTTATTCAGCAAGGATGCATTGAATTGAGTCTTAAAATGCTGTTCTTTTGAACTTTTATTCATCAAATAATGCAAAAAATGTATCATAGTTTCCACAAAATCTGGTTTAAATATTGATAATAATAAGAAAAATATCTTGAGCGGCAAATCAGCATATTAGAATGATTTCTGAAGGATCATGTGACACTGAAGACTGGAGTAATGATTCTGAAAATCCAGCTTTGCCATCACAGGAATATATTACATATTTATTTAGAATAGAAAACATTTTAAACTGTAATAATATTTCACAATATTACTCCATTTTCCCCACTGTATTTTTGATCAAATACATTCAGGATAGGTCAGCATTAGGGACTTCCTTCAAAAACATCTTACTGACCCCAAACTTTTGGACAGTATGTATGTTTGAGAAATAAATGCTTGAATATCTAGTACACTAATTTATCAAATTTACATATTTGCTTTTTTACATTTGGCTACATGAGTTGTTCTGCATTTTCCAGCATACATTACTGATCTGATCCTGGGCCTTTCTCAGTCTCTGTAGCTCTGGAGTATCCAAGACAAATTTGAGGCCCCGACCCTTACTCTGTTCAAAATCCTTCCTGTATTTGACCTGTAGAACAAGAAAACCAGGAAGTTGGTACGGTGTTCTGAGTGGTTTTAGGTGCGTTCCTGTTTGGTTGCGAGGGAGTTCTGTATGGTTGTGATTTGAGCTTATCTTTTTTTTTTTTTTCAAATCCCTAACACAAAGTATGACCAATATTAAATGCAGCAGACTAATTTTTTGTTATGCAAGTACATAAAATATATTTTCACAGCTCGCTGACCAATCTTTCAGAAAAAAAATACATTTTCTGTCATAATGCCAGTATAGACTTGGCAGCATCTTTGGGCTGCCAGGTGGAGAAGCTGAGGGGATCGGCCAGGGCACCACGGAGTAGACAGCTGCCTTGCTTTTCTCCATGCTGACCTCAAAGTATCACACCCAGTCCCTCCCTGGCAGCCGAAACACTCACGCGGCTGTACGTGATTGTCTCATCCCTTTGAATTGTCTCTACCAAAAGCAACATTTACATTTAGTCATTTTGCAGACGCTTTTATCCACAGCAACTTACAATTAACAAATAACATTATCCTACCCTAGATATGCCCCCTTTAGATTTAGAGCAGTATTTTCAAAATATATTTTTATCCTGTGTAATAATGTGATTAAAGTGTACTACACATTTCATAGTGAACAAGTGATCTTACCTGACTTTGGAGCTCGCTTTGCTGTCTCAGTCGTAGGTTCTCTGGGGTGTCTGTCACAATTGTAAAGGTCTGTTTTGGATAGTGCCTTTTTGGAAAAAGGAAGTGAGTCATTTTGGGCTTTTGGACTCTACCATATTCATGTTCTATCAAATAAGTAGAATTCAGGTTATTAGTAAACATGTATTTTATGTATTTTCAACACCTCCCATTTAACTACAAATTACCAGTGTATATGAACGTAAGTAATTAATAAACTGGTATTTTTAAGGCAATAACATACGCGTTGCAGTAGGGCTTCTTCTCATATCCCTTGTAGCTGTTCATGTTGAGAGTCATTTTACACACCTCACAATGGAAGCATCCTTTGTGCCAATACTGCAAAACGTAGAGAGATGGAAACTGCGCATAAAACTCAATCCATGAAAGATATTTATGAAAGCACATTATCCAGAAGCATTTATACATTTTTAGTTATAAGCATCGGAAGGAAGAGAACATACCTTGTCCAGGCAGTTCACTTTCTCTGTTGCGTAGACTATTTTCCCACAGCGTGCGCAATGAGGATTCATTTTTAAACTGTTGCGATGGTCCGGGAAAATAGCATAACTTCTCCAGTCACTCCGATAATCCACTAACTTGTAAAATATCTCAGATATGTCAGACTTGCTGCAGCACGCGGTGAGTTTATGTCGCAGAGCTTTAAATCGCGTGGCTCGCGAGTGTTTATCAGCGTGCTGCTGGTCTCGCAGTGAGGGAACTGGAGCAAAGATGCGTGAGATTTCACCAAACATCACCCACTGAGACTGTTGGAGGAGCAATCAAACACTGACCGCGGGGATTTGGCTTTTCTGTACATGCTCAAAGAGCCAAAAAGAGCAAAACAAAAGTCAGGTTTTGTAAGGTGTGACGCGTTTTATTTCGTCTTTGTGGTGTTTTGTTAGGTCTGACAGAATGGTGTGCATTATGTTTGTAATGGTGTTTTGGTTTCTAAGAGACGCTGTTTGTTATTTAGTGTCTCTCATCACACATAAAACCTAGACTAAAGAGGCATGAATAATATCGCATCTCGGGAATATTTCTTAATTTATACTAGGATGAGTAGCGGTCAGAAGTAGTTAAGAACAATAACATCATAATGCCTAAAGAGGGCAGTAGAACACCGAAAGATGCGCCTTTGAGAGCCCGTTAGAAATTATGTTTATTACCTTCAGAATGTAAATGGCTGGTGATTAAGACAGGGGGACGGTATTAATATCTAGCAAGTATTAAAAACATATGCCATAAGATTTCAGCTTAGACCTACAGTAAAAAAAAAGTGCTTTGACAACATAAAAGTGTGCTCAGGTTTGTGTGTGTGTGTGTTATGTTGCATCATCTTTAAACAGTTACACTAGCAATGTGTAAGTAAGTTTTATTTATAGAGCACATTTAAAATTCAGCGTTACACTGACCAAAGTGCTGAACAAAACCAATAATAAAATACAGGAAATTCTAAAATAATGTAAAATTTAAAAAACAATCATAATAAAAAAATTGTAATATCGGCAATAACAACAGTTCCACATTTAATAAATAGCCCGGAAAGGCGAGAGAGTAAAAATGTGTCTTAAGTCTGGACTTGAAAACAGAAACAGAAGAAGCACTCCTAATGTCAGGTGGCAACTGATTCCCCAAACGTGGAGCAGCGACTGCAAGGGCTCTGTCTCCTTTTCATTTAAGTCGTGACCGAGGGACATGTAATAGAGCTGTATTAGCGGATCTGAGAGACTTCGGCGTTGAATGCAAATAAATAAGATCAGAAATATAAGATGGGGCTTGTCCGTTAAGAGCTTTGAAAACAATAAGTAAAATCTTAAACTGAATTCTAAAAAAGACAGGAAGCCAATGAAGGGACGCTAAAACTGGAGAAATATGTTCGGGTTTTTTGATGCCGGTTAACAATCTAGCCGCCGCGTTCTGAACCATCTGCAGCCGTGCCCATGAAGATTGTGGAAGACCAACATATAACGAATTACAATAATCCAGGCGTGATGTGATAAAAGCATGAATGACTTTTTCCAGATTTTGAAAGGAAAGTGTTGATTTAAGCTTAGAGATGATCCTCAGCTGATAATAACTATTTTTAACAACTGAGCTAATTTGTTTTTTAAGACAAAGCTCCGAGTCAAAGATAACACCTAGATTTTTTTACATGAGACTTAACACATGGAGTGAGGTTTTCTAAGTTCCCAACAACAGAATTTCTAGTTTTAAAGAGACCAAAGAGAATCACCTCAGTTTTACAATTGTTGAGCTGCAGGAAGTTATTTGACATCCAGCATGTTATATCCTCAAGACAGTCGATGAGAGGCTGCAGAGAATCTCGAGATTTTAATGGAAGATACAGCTGAGAATCATCTGCATAAAAATTAAAAGAGATTTTATATTTCCTTATGATGTTACAAAGTGGAAGCATATACAGATTAAAGAGTAATGGGCCCAAAATGGACCCCTGATGGACCCCATAGAGAAGAGAGGCAGATGATGAGATAAACTGGCCAACAGACACTGAAAATGACCTGGATTTCAGATATGACTCAAACCAGCTAAGTGCTGTACCCTTTATGCCCACCCAATGTTCAAGGCGTGACAGAAGGATATTA